TTTGAATTATAGCTTCCATTTTGTGTACGTTCTCATCCAATAGGCCTGGGCTGTCATTGGAATAAAGTGAAAGAAGGAGGAAGCCTTCTAACACAGCTCTCTTTGTCTTCTACTTGCCTGCCATGAGATGAGCAGCTTTCCTTTACCATACCCTTCTGCCTTGATATTTCTTTTTAATTTTTCTTTTTTATTTTTTTGGTTTTTTGAGACAGGGTCTCACTATGTAGTTGAGACTGACCTGGAACTCACTATGTAGCCCAGGCTGGTCTCGAACTCACAGAGATACTCCTGCCTCAGCCTTCTGAGTGCTGGGATTACAGATGTGTGCCATCATACCAGTCTCTGCCTTGATACTTTGGCCTCATCCATCACAGGCCTGAAGGCAATGGAACCAAGTGACTATGGCCAACAACATCTGAAACCATTAGCCACAATGAACCTTTCCTCCTTTAAATTGATTTCCTCAAGTATTGTCACAGTGATGAAAAGCTGATTTAGCCTCTTTTACATGCATTGCAGGATATATCCTAAATAGCTGTTAAAAAATGACCCTCTAATGTAACACTAACAACATTGCACATATTTTAAAAGGACTGTTTACTTTTGTGTGATTAGAACTACATCACAAATGGCATCTTCCTCACATTTCAGCTGCCTAAGTGTGTTCTGTTCATTATTCTATCAGTTACCCTAACTTCTCTGACCCTTTCCCCATTCATGAAATACCAGTAATCTTGGTCTCTTGCCCAGACCTGCCTCAGAGTCCCACCACAGGTTTTTAATTTTAATATTTGCCATTCTTCAGGGTTTTCTTCTAATGCTGAAGCTGCAAAAGCTTTAGAGGCTAGTTCCCCGGGAAGAGGTTGCAGCTGATATTGGGTAGGGACTGCATTGGGCATTGAAATCATGTAAATGTTAAAGAATAAAGAAGCCAGCAGTTAGTGACCCAGATGAAGGAATTTCTCTCTATTACAGGATATTTTGAATGATTTATTCATAATTTTACTTTGCACATTTAATGGAGCTTTTCCAATTCCTTTCATAATTAGCTCGGTTTAAATTAGGTACCTGTAAACATATTCATTTACACTTCATCTGGGGTTATGGGCAACATACTGAACTACAAAATGTAAAATACTTGTTAATGAAAGCAAAGGATTTTTTCACTTTGAAGATCTTTCTTAAAAGCTAACCCTTTTCATCATGGTATGTATTTTTTAATTGTTACAATAATATTTTGGTAAAAGTAAAACAAGGCAAACCTTTGTATTTGCTACAAAAAATATTCGAGGAATAATCATCATTAGAAGAGCTAGAAAATATAAATTGTTTTGTTGAAAGTTATTTAAAATATCGCAATATGAATAGAAATAATGCTACTGACATTTTAGGATGCCTGAAAATATGATCAAATTTAATTGTTTACTTTAATTCTTCTGCAGTGCAGTGGCTGTATTTAAAATATATATACTTTTCCACTGCTGATTTTGCTTGACACTTTGAGTTTATGCCAGTTTTCTTTAACTTGCTCTTATTCCTTCAAAATCTCCCTAGTCTTTTTTGCAATTCTCCATATGCATCAAAACCTGATACTGTAATATTATATTCACCAGATCCTACACTTTCTGCAGGTTGAAACTTATCATTCCTGGTCTATTTCCAACACTTAAACCATATTTTTTGGAAATAAAAAAGATATGATTAGATAATAATACATGCAATGTTTTTCCCTGACCTCTTAGCACATAGTATTACATATGAAATATTGAAAGGAGAACATTGATAATCATGGTTAATGGACCGTGAAGACATTTTAATATTGATTGATAATTGTAAGTCCTTTGCTATAGAAATGGTTTAGCTGTACATGTTATCAGTATATAGAAAGCTGGATTGTTAATCCACTTGCTAACATGGATAATCAGGGGACAGAAATGAGGATATGAAAAGTTCATCTTTTTGAGTTTAAGGCTCATCAAGATCTCTTCCCAAATGGTAAATAATAGTAAACATTATTAATTATATGCTCAGTAAATGCAAATCTAGCTTTGAAATCTCCATGTGTTCATATTTTGTCCTCTTACTTGACTGAGCATAAAGAGAGAGGAAGTCTCACTCCATCTTTACCCTGTTCTTTGAACCCAGCACAAATCACATGATGAAGAGATTCTCAACTAAAGATGGCAAAATAGGTGCTGTAGCACAGTGTTTAATGCACAGGCTGGTAAACAGAAATGGTGCTTCAGAAAACTCCCTCTACTAAAGAGCTCCAAGATAATCACAAAGGAATATAAGGGAGATCTTCAATATTGAATTTTCAGAATGTACCTATTTCTAAATCTCACATACTGCTATTTTCCTTGCTATTCTACTTTCAGCTAATAATTGCTAGTGATGTCTCAATCTGAGAGTAAGCATAATGACTCTGTACTATGAACTTTCTAGAAATGAGAAATTTATAAACAACTGACTATTGTCCATAAATATTGATTTAGGCTTGTCTGCTCTCTGGGTCTCATGATTCAGTGATTGGCTTATCATCGAAGTTAATGTAAAAGTAAGTACTATGGAAGTATTGCTTTTTTGACAACCTACTGTGACACGGGGCAAAGAAAGTAAATTATACAAGAAACAGTCATGCATCTCATTTAAATTTGATTAAAATAAGTAACTGGGAACTAAATTAACATCATCACTCAGACAGGCTTGGTAATTCCCTGAGTAACACTAGAAACGTCTTATGAGACTTTCAAAATACTGTGACATATAATCAATTGTAGCAAGTATATTAATTGCTGTCCATAGTAGATCAACCTTCAGCCAACTATTTGAAGTGTCACAGTTTCAGCTAGGAGAGGATCTGTTCTCACATTGATCTTCTAAGCTGGAAAGGGATCCATTCAGATGTTAGATGCTGAAAACATACTTCAGGTTGTTAAAAATTTGAAACAATAAAAACTCCTCATGATTACTGCTTCATTCCTCTTTACAAAAAATTAGAGAGAAAAATTCTTGGGAAATAAATTATAGTTTCATAGAAGAGAATGAGAATTAAGTTCAAAATTGTAGCACTCCTTACTGAAAAGTGACAAAGTATACAAGGACCACTTATCAAAGTGATGTAACATAGGAAAAGTGAGTTAATTTTAGTTTGAGGGAACAGGAATAGGTTTAGATCTATAAATTTTTTATGAAGCAATTTTATTATGTCTGATTTGTATGTAAGTCATGAGAAATGAACAATTTTTTCCCTATAAAAGCTGGTGGCAAGTTTGGCTTGAAGCCTAGAAGAACAGAATGCTAGAATATTCTTCAAGGCCCCTCTCTGGAAAGTTTGTTTCTGCGTTTGTGTTGTAGAAAGATCATCTTCCTTCCATCATTTCCAGGGGATAAATGACAAGGGTTATTTTATTATATTTTATTTTTTACCGGTAATATTGAATAATTCAAATCACTACTAAACTTTATCATTTCTGCCAAATATATCTGAATTTACCAGATTTATCATTAAAACAAAGCCATTAAATTACACATCATCTGTTCATCTTAATTCCAATCACTGAAAAATCAATTATGTATGCGAAAGGTACATTTTTATACTACAGCTACTTTTGAGAGCTCAGCCTATACAGATTTTCCCTTCCAATCTTTTGCAACAATAGCAACAGCAGGAGCAGCAGCAACAACAGCAAAAACTTCTCATATAATTGATACTACAGCATTTCTATTTCTAGGGAGGAAAATGTGACAGAATACCCATTAGAATTAAAATTATTAATATTTTTTGGGGGGAGTCCTGGGGATTTAACTCAGGATCTTGCACTTGTGAAGTAGGCTGCAGAACCACTGAGCTAAATCCCTGGCCCAAAATTGTTAATATTTTAATTCACATAATTTTCTTACTCATCAGTGGTGTTATTGGCTATAAAGTCCATAACAATGTCACTAAATTATTCAACTATAAAAACAAATGGGATCAAAGGCTATTTGTAGTTTGTTAACCTTTCATTTGTAATAGATGAAAACAATTGAAAGGTGAAATAAAGACTGTATAATAACCTCAGGGTTTGTTGCTATAATTATTCTAAGAAAACAAAGCTACATGAATTTAGGGAATTTGTTTCTATAAGACTTCCCAGTCTTTTCAAATGTTCTCAGTGATGTTGTCAAGTGAATAGCCCTCTTAAATACAGTGATGTTACTACCATAATATGTAAGATTATTATTATAATAAAATGTAAGAATTATGACAAAAGACTTAACAATCAATACTCTAGTTCTATTTTTCTAAATCACATATAAAATATGTTTGGTTTGTCCTTCAGGTATAATGGAGGAAAGCAGCTGGTTATTTTGCTAAATGACAGCAAAAAAATAACTTGTAATTATAGTCATATTGTGGATAACCCATAATGTGTTTCACTAAACTTTGAAATTGCAACTTCAATATTCTATATTTTATTTCATGGCTTTGGTCAGACTGTTTTTTTAGAGACTACTGCACATTAATTTTCTTTCTCAAAAATTTCTTCAAATTTGCTACTTTCTGGCTTTTCTTCAAATCATTTTTCTTTAGCTAAATTAAACTTTAATTAAATATCTATAAACCCACTGAAATATGGAATTACTGTTTCTGTCAAGAATACTTAGTTTTTAATTCTCTTTTCTGGCCAATTCCAAGTAGCAAAGTGCTTAAACCCACCCTTACTTTATTCTTGAGTTACAATGTAGGGATCTGAATCTCTGGTTCTTAGATACAAATTTTCCCAGTAGATCAGTGTTATGTTAATTGAATACCTGGCTTCTAGACAGTCTTTCTGCTTCCTTTATGCTATTTTGCACTATGTATCATAAATGTGGCCTCTGACTTACAGTCACTTGCATTTCTTCTCAAAAACAAATTTTAGAAATATTCATTTTTGTATTGTCAGTCTACTAAAGTCTATCCTATAATTTTTCTGTTTTATATGGCAGCAGAAAAGTTCACTGGAAGTACCTACCAGCAGGAATCCTGGGGGGCAAAGATCCTCCCCCTGGCACTGGATGTGGGGCCTGGATGCTATTTAAAAGCCCTGCCCTCAGGAAGCTGGGACAAAACGTCTCCACCCCAATGGCCGGGAAGGATCCTTTTAAGAGATAAAAATTGACATTAATCAAGGTAGTCTACATTGAAAAGTTACTGATGATCATTTACTTGGAAACCTACAGTCAACAAAGATATCAAATTTTATAAGGAAGCTAGGAAGTTAAAAAAGTGAATGCATTTTTCAACCCATAAATTTCTAAATTTAGTCCAATTTCTTGAAAAGAAAACTATCAAATAATTGCAACTAAAGGATGAAGAAACATCAGAATGCTAAGATAAAATTATAAAAGGTACATTTAGAACAAAGTCATGTCATACAATGATGCCGTAGACATAAAAGTAGTCATTTATGTTTTATTTTTACAGAGTTCATGTCCACATCAGCCATAAACATACAGAAAATAACTATGATGGAATCTGAAGTCTAGGCTGTGCCAAAAGGAACTGTTTTGCTTTAGGTAAATCAATATTAATGACTACAAAGAGGAAAAGTCATACATGCAGTAATTACATATATTTTTGAAGCAAGCATGAGATAATAAAACAATTCTTCCTTTATTATATTTTCTTTTTAGGGAAAAGACATGAGAGTTTGCATAGGTAGAACCATATGCGTTTTTTGTTTGTTTGAAAGAAAGATATTGTGAAACATAAAAAAGTAAGCAGTTTAAAATTTATCCATGAAGTTATATAATTGATCTTATACTAAAAGCATATCAGAGTTGAAAAACACTTTTTAGAGATAGCCTGAAGGGTAGAAATAATGTCATATAGTTCTATTGTAAAGAAAAAGAATGACTTAGTCATATAAAGAAAAAGGGATATAAATGAAATGATCTTTAAGAAAATTTGAAGAAAGAAAGTAGTGACTCCTAGTAATGTTAATATGCTACACATTTAGAAATATTTATTTGTTTTTGTTAGCTTTGTTTACATTATCACAAACTGCTAATTTAGAAATGATGCCCACTAAACTCCTAGAAGGGAACTAAATACAGATATTACTTTATTGATACGACTACATTGATTATTGCTTTTGTTGATGTGACTGTCTTATTTAATAGAAGCTTTCATTTCCTTCCACTTTTTATGTCATTCATATTGGCTTTGTTGTGTTTCTTTACCTTGATTAAATAGGTCTTTCATTTATCATGGGATGTCTTTCTTAAGGAACTCTCATTTTTTAATAGCTGAAAATAAAACAAAACAAAAACTGTGCACATGCATAGATACTCATTTGAAGTATTGTACAATGTGACAATAATGCCCTATCACTTTCTCCTTAAGGTCCATCATGCCAACAGAGAGCATGAGGCACTGAAGTTCTAAGTTTTCACAATTCAATCAGGAAAGCATGAAACTTCTTATTGTTGGAATTTTCTCATCTCTTAATCCAAGAGAATTTAAATTTTAGGACTTGATGACAAATACTTTTAGTCTGGCTTTCCAAACTGTCCAAGTTGCTAACTCTCTCTGGTTCATTTTTTAAATTATGGGATAATTTATTAATATTGTAGCTGAAAAAATAATGTCTAAAGTCTACAGCAAGAGAAATGTCAATTTTGTTTTTTCATGTGTATTTTGTTTTTAGTTACATTCAGCAGAACAAATATTTATTAGTTAAGAATTTATTACTTTCAATATTTGAGTTTCCAATTTGTTGATGCTCTTGAGTCTTTTGTTAGTATAATGAGTCTCAATTTTGGTGAGATTTTCACTTTTAAAGCAACACAATCCATGACTGACAAAATGAATTACTGATATTTAGCTGGTGGAAGGCTGAAGGTGTTGCAATATGTGATATACTCTCTGCTGAAAGGAACTCTCTCTCCAGATGCTAGTATCATCCACTGAAAAACATTAAAGAATCATTACAAAAAAGTTTGCTACTTAGTTGGTCATACAATGAAAATATGATGTGAAAAAAAAAGAAAACGAAACAACCCATATCTTGCCATCTGTATTGATAAATTAATAGAGGATTTGGATTACCTAGATCACTTCATTTGAAAGTAAGGTTGCCTGCAAAGTAAGTCATTTTCAAGTAATTAAAGAGTATTTGATGCAAGCTTTATGAAACAAAATCCATCTAAAATAACTTCACATTGGAATTAGGTATCATTAAGAATTTGTGTAAAAGATAACTTGATTCTTGGTGCTTCAGTTTCCTCATTTGTAGAATGAAAACTTACCAGACCCTAACTCATGGGGCTGTTTATGAGGGTCAAATGAAAGCAAATGATTATAACATGAACCAATATCATTACTTAACAGGCCTAATTTTTACAAATAACTTATTTATGTAGGAAATAGAAATAAAACTGATGACATTTTCCAGTTCTTCCCTCCTCCTTTTACACAAATCCCTAATAGAAGAAAACCCTTCTTTGAAAACTAAATATCAATAATTTAATTTTGATGTCACAAAGTTTAATAAGGAGCCATATCCTATAATATTAACTCTTAATATGAGATATTATTATTTTCATTAGCAGGTTTTGCAAATAACCATTTTGATCTATGTGTGTTAGAAATGTAACTCAATTGAATAAAATTTAAAACTGAAAACTTAAAGTACATGCACTCCTATGTGTGCTTGAGGTGATGAAGGAAGGTTAATTTGCTTGTTACTGTTTGGTCCTCCATTTCACTTTTTGTCCAGTGATGAATTTACTTTTTACAATATTTTCCAAAATTAGGGTGGAGGGTATACCATCAAAGTGCAAAGAAGACAGGCAGTAGGAATAAAACACTAGAAATTCCATTTCTGCTTGTGCTTTATGTTATCCTTTAACAATTGCTATTTTTGTGAATATTTTATAAATATATATAATACCATACTAGTTCATATAAGTGCATTATAAATAAAATATACTCATGATACTGCTTATCCCCAGAATGTTTGTGCAAATATTTTTATTATTAAAGCTGTGTAATCAGAGGTTTTGGAAGATTGCTTGTTTAAATAATAAAACAGTGAATAAAAGGCCAAAGTATGGATAAAGTAAATAATCTTAAGACCTTTAACAGTTAGAGCATAGCTGAATTTTATTGGCCTAGGACAATGACCCTGGAAGATCACATTGCCCCTTACACAGTAGTTCTCAACTTTGGATATATTATATATTTCTAATATACTTTATATTAGAAAATGAATAACAAAGACCCAAATGAACAAAGAATATGGAAAACCATTATGAAGTTATAAATACCATAAAAAGTGTGGATGTTATAATAAAATTCTAAAAAGAGGAGGTCACAAAAAAATCGCTGGGAACAGTATTAAATGTAAGGATTTCATTGTATCATAAGACATCTTAACATAAATATGTGGCATTTTTTGTATGTTGTGCATGTGTGTAATTATATTTTATAAACAAATAAGCTAAACCTATAGATTTTAAATTATTAAATTTTGTACTATAATTAATATATGTGATTATTATTTGAAAATATTTTTAATTTCAGCCAGGCGTTTAGCTCAGTGGTGTTACACCTGCCTTGCAAGTGCAAGGTCCTGACTTCGATCCCTGGTACTGGAAAAAAAATTTAATTCAGAGGAAGGCCTGTTTAGCCGCTCCCTCCCTGCTGGTGCCTCTGCAGCCATTGCTCCAGCAGCAGGAAGTTAGCTGCGTGGGTGCCCCTGAACACCACACCCTCATGCTCTCAGACCTTATGATTGTACCAGTCATGGGACCCACCCTGCAGAGGCAGAGATTTCTGAGCTCCCAACTTTGAACATCTTTAAAGAAGGGGCAGGGGAAACCTGTAGCAGAACTGTGTGGAGTTCAACCCTTCAAGAGGTCAGGGAACTCAATCTGGGCCTTGCAGCCTGAGGTCAGTCTGAATCATGGGGTTCTGCCATCAGCTAACTGAGATCAGGGGACTTGGTTCTTCACATGGATGCACATGTTGTATATTATGACAGCAGAGATATAGTCTGACACTCAGCAAATTCTTTCTATTTTCTACCCTCTTTCTCCAACTCAGTCTCTTCCTCCACCTATTATCCCTCATCTCCCTTTCTGTTTTTGTGATTGATTTAATGAGTTGTTTTCCCTGATATTATGAAAATGAGAATGTCTATGAGTCATTAGAGACCCAAAAGCCAAAGTGCAGCTATCACAGGAAGATTTAAGTAATAACCCAAAAATAAACCAAGGACAATCCAACAACAAAAATAAAAATGAGAAAACACTTAAGCAAGACACAAAGACAGTCTTCCAGTTCACCAATGGTAAACAGTAGGGCAAATGAGGATGAAAGGTCTGAGAGTGAACCAGCAGGAAACCCTGAACCCATAGCACAGGAAGTAACAAAATAGGTCAATCAGGCTCTAGAAAAATTCAAAACAGAAATAATTTCCCAGATAACCATAGAGATGGCAAGCAAAATGAAAGCCATGATTTGAGACTCTAGAAAAAAAAACCTGACAAAAAATAGGTGAGCTCAGGACCATGATAGAAACCATGAGTGCCCAGCATAAGAAAGAAATGGAAACAATAAATGCCCAACATAGGAAAGAAATGGAATCCATAAAAAAGATTCAAACAGCTATCCAGGAGATTAAAAATTCTACTGAAAGTGCTTGCAACTGAATGAAAGAATGCAAAGATAAGAGTTTCAGATATAGAAGATAAGATTGCAATCAGTGACCATGCAAAGAGAGGTCTCCTAAAAACAGTAAGAGATCATGAGAAATTGATCCAACAACTTGTAGACAATGCAAAGAGGAATAACATAAGACTGATAGGAATCCATGAAGTAGCATGAAAAAACACAAATGACTTTAAAGAGCTGTTCACAGAATTAATGACAGAAAACTTCCCAAAGAGAGGGGAAGAATTTGACATACAGATAAGTAAGGCATATAGGACTCCAACTAGACACGATTAAAAAAAATCTACACCTAGACATGTAATAATCAATATTCCAGAAATCCAACAGAAGAACAAATTACTATAAGTAGTAAGAGAAAAGAAACAAATCACAAGCATAGGAAAGCCCATCAAAATCACAGAAGACTTTTCAACACAAACC